TTTGTGCTGTCTATATACATCTACATAAACAAATAAAACTTAAAGCAATTCACATCCAAAAACAAAGAGAAATATTCTAGTTAATTAATAAGAGTGAGTGCAAAAAATGTCGGTCAGGAACGCTGGAATGTCGAAGTCTTAGCTTGACGGGGCAGGCAAACTGATAGCAGGGGAAAGAGACAGGAGGAACTTATTCAATTACTGATACATGAGCCTATGTTAACAACATCAGAAAACAATTACAAATGCAGTCTTTTCTCATTGCAGCGGAGTTGCATAAATCAGATCATGACATAATCCATCAGAATTCATTTAAAAAGGAAAATTATAGTGGTAAAAACAACCCCTAAACAAATTTCATTTCAGCTCAAGGTAGACATATGTCATTGATTGTCCACTGTGGTTCACAACAGTTAAAAAGCCTCTGACTGCATGTACTAGAGGGACGCTGTGCCCAGGAAGTCTGTGTAGTAGTAGTAAGGAGGCTTTCCCCGTGTATCAGTCCGTTCTCCACTCCACTGTAGGAGTACGGTCCACAAACATGATCCGAACTGGCGCCAACGAGCAGGACAGAAACTCTACTGGTCACTAACTGAAGTCGTATCTTTGATGCCGAAGGGTTGTGGCAGGTGCAAATGGGAGGTAAAAAGGCAGACACATTTATAAATGTTTGCCAGTCTCTTGTGCAGTTTTAGCATGATGTTGCTCAGTGCATGAAGTGTTGAAACAGATGAGAAACAGGGTAAAGCTGACTCCCATTCCCTTACAATAGTAAGAACTTGTTCCTCTAGTGAGTTAAGAATGCACTAGAAAATAAGAATAAAATTGTCACTTTTATCAAAGGTGGCTTTGTGACTTCTCCGTCAAGCTTTCCTATGTTACTGATTCTTAAGCTGAAGCCATCAGGATGGAGATAAATAGCTTAGTCTCACATCCATTAAGATTAACACAGTTAAACACTACAGCAAATGGAAATGTATCAGTGAAATCAATGAGTGCCACTTAAATAAAAATTACAATGTACTGCATTTTATATAACACAAGACATGCCAAAAACAAAACAAACAGAAACAAAGTTCTTGCAGTCCCAGCTGGGTGTATGAGGTTCTTCCAGAAAAGATTAAAGGCTGCACTCGAGGGTTGGGAGGTGAAGGCGACGGCTTGAAGAGCTCAGTTGGAGGATTTGCTTATAGCGCTGGCTGAGCGCCGGAGTTTTCCGGAAACTCTGTTCTTTGTGGCACGGGGCATGGTGGGAGAGACCTGGTCGACAGGGTCTGCTGTTCCCGCTGGAGCACCGATGTCAGTGCTTATGCTACTGGTGAAGGAGCCTGGGAGATGGATAGAGGGAGAGTTTGTAGACAGAGAGGAAAAAGACAGCGATGGAGAGAGACAGAGCTGGTTAGACATGGCTGGGGCTCAAAGGGGCTTTGAGTGATTGTTGCATATCCCAGCATGCTTTGCATACGGCTGCTCCCCCAAACCAAGATTATCCATTTTGCAAGATTTTCACCAACATTCACAAAACTGTCAAAAAAAACAAAAGTTAGGATGTGAGTCTGTTCTACCCCTTAAGTAGCTGAACGCGAGAAAGCAAATAGAGTGCTTCAGATCTCACATGCCTTTGTCACATGCCACAGAAAAGCAAAGATTATTAAAAGAGGAACCGCCTTTCTTCCCAATAAGCGTTTCCAGATGCTTATATGATATAAAAAAATGAGCAGTAACCTTTGTGGCTATGGGTAAAAGACATTACAAACGAACCCTATTCAGTTTGCAGTGTGACAGGAGAATGCTTTGAATGAAAATAAAATTACACATTATGCTCTTGTTGTGAACATGTGGAGCCTTCCCATTGTCAAACATTGTCCTTTTCCAAAAAAACGTCACATCCATGATTACAGGATGGCAAACAGCAGTAAGCTGGGAGGTGGGCATGAAATGCTGGTGCCGACAATCAAGCATTGTTAACGCCGCCTTGGCTTTCTCAGTGTGCCCCTGACCCAGCCTAAACCGCGGCCCCCTCCCCACCCCGCCCGCCTCTGCCCCATGCCTCCAGTTTAAACAACTTTTCTGCTTTGTCGAGATGGCATCTGGTTGCCTATTTTCTTTCCTATCCTTTTATTTCCTGCCATTTTTCGGAGGCATCTCAAGTTGCAGCGGCTAAAAAGAATGGCAGATGGCTGGAGTAACAGACACTCAGCAGCACAGTGGACACCGGCAGCATCCAGGGCTGTGGCTCACTGGGAAGCGGAGGGCTGGCCTATGGATGAAACATTGGGTGTGTATTGTTCAGAGCTAGAGGGGAGGGTGAGGGGGGTCTGGACATGCATTCTCCAATCTGCATACGAATATAAAAAAAGCTAAAAATGTGGGCTGGCCTTAAGGACAAACGCTTCATTCCCATATTCTCCTACCCATTCCTGCAGTAACCACTTTGTCTTACAAAGTGAGCCCAAAATGCATCTGCTGTAAAGACCTATGATAGACAGGAGGAAGGCAACCACCTATTAAAGCTAATATACTCTGACAGTAGCACGGTACAGTTCACCACCCACTCCACAGTCATCCCTTTTCGTTTAGCGCCCATTAAAACGTGCTGCACTAAACAGTCATCACTTCCACTGTGGCATTAAATGACTATGTGGTTGCATCAGCTTCTAAATGGTGTTCGTCACTGTACGGCCTTATGCAAGAATTCATTGTCATAGTAAGTTACTCAGTGAAAACAATAACCCAGATCCAGAAGAGCCTAATGTGTCATCATTATCATTATTACATCCCAGCATTTCCGCTCCTCGCTCAGCCCAAACTGCCTGACGGTGAGATTATTTTCAGATGGAAAGGAGAAGGAAGAAACACAGAGAGAGAGAGCAAAGAAGGAGTCTTTAAATGGCCCTGCTATCCCATTGGTCCCCCCCTGCAGCAGTTCAAACAAGGCTTTAGATGACAAAGACGTCTTCCAGTGTGGCAGGTGTTAGTCTCAGAGTCTGCCCTAGGCAAACAGGCACACACCAACAGGAGGAAATGAGAGGGGTGGAGGGACTGGGGGGGTGGGGGGAGTAAGAAGTAAAGTGTTTGCTGGGGGAAGAGATAAAGGCGCACCACATGCAGAAGCGAGAGCCAGAAGTATTGCCATATTGTTCATGCTGCTACTTAGTCAGGTGCTAATCGTCCCCACCGTGCATCACTCTCAATTACCAGTCTGGCCTAAACAGTAGGGCACCCCTCAAAAAACAGCCTGGTTTCTCTGTCCCCTTCCCTTTGTCAGAGCTCTTAGTAAATAAAGCTTGGTTAGTACTGAATGAAAAAAGGAGGGGTTGGGAAAAACAGCCAGGATGAGCGAACAAGCGAAGGGCAGGCAGGCCGCTGGTCTGCCTCGGGGCTTACCTTCGCCATAAACAGTATTTGGACCTTTAAGTTATTTTTAATCTAAAAGGAAAAAAAAAAAAAACAGAGCAGAGCATCGTGTGAGAAAGCAGTGGACACAGCGACACCCATCGCACCACGCTGCAGCAGAGTGGAGGGACAGTCAGGCGCCATGTGTTGCGCTGTGGTTAGTTGTTACTGGAACATTTAAAAGTCAACAAAGGTTAACTGATTTGGATGATGTGTTCAAAAAGTGCAATTTTTTTCTGAAGACACATTGAAGTGTTCCTGATGAATCAGTCCAAGATATAAAAAGTTAAACAATTTTAAAATCCAAAGCACAAATGACGAACAGTTCACATGGCAACAACAGGCTAAGAAACATTTACAACCAATCTTATAAGTACAGAGGGGTAGGGTGGGAGAGTAGGGGATGCTAAGGTCATGGGAGCTGTTAAGTAGTTTTATCCACTAGAGAGAATTATGAGCAGTTAGGCATTTTAAAAGAGAATGAACTCAAAATGACAAAAACTAAAACACTACAAAGTGACTACAAGGTGGTGCAAGCTGTAACACAGTACGGACAGAGCACTGAGGATGAAGTCTTGAGTCTGTATGGCAGATGGACTAGCTCATGCAGGAAGCCATAATGCTGGACTGAAGCTACACGGTGAGAGTGAAGTTGCATTCAGGATCGGGGGAGGATGAGGCTCTGGAGGATTCTGACAGGAGAGGGCCAAGAAGAAATGCCTTACAGAAAGCTGGTGAAACACCGCAGGAGTGTTTCATTTAACAGTTAGCATGCAGAATCTGTACTTGAATTTGAGACCTGCTGTGCTTTAACAAAAGGACTAAATCAAGTGCAACTGCCAGCTTTTTGGGGTTTTTTTTTTTTTTGATGATTTTTGGGTTCACAGCGACCTAAATGAATGATGGAGGTCGGTGGGCATCATGCCTAGTGTGGAGGAAGCAGGCAGAGTCTTACAGTCCACTTTGGCCCAGGGGTACTCCATGTCCCAAACCATCCCCGGCCAACGCCTGCATGCTGTCGTGGAGCATGGATGATATGTTAGTGGCAGCAACAGCAGCCAGAGCAGGATGGACAGATAGCTGGATGGACAAACTTGAATACAACCATACACACACGCACACAGAAAAAAAGGAGAAACAGGGCAGTAGCACATTTCAGGAGGGTGAGAATGAGGCAAGGTGTCAGCCAGCTATCACTGCCACATTAAAGCTGTATGCCTGATGGGACACACAGGATCCGGCATGAGAGACTACAGTGATAAAGGCTATTTAGATGCATTAAATATGAGACCTAAAGCATTAAACATGTCATGCCAATGATTTTGAAAAAAAGACCCCTACCACTACACCAGATCGAGCAGAAGAAGACACTAAAATATGCTTGGAAACACTGCATACAGGTGAGATTTGTGCTTGACTGGAGGTGTTCTTCAAACATTGTGGTCTACTTTTTTAAGAGGAAAGACTTTAAGGGTGGTTACTAAGTGGCTGGTAATGCATACGTGTTTGTTTAAGTCTATCTCTGTTAAAATGTTGCGCATGGCCGTGTCCTGACTGTTTCTGCAAGATGTATCCAGGACTGTCTCAGCCCTAAATGGGGCTAGTATTGCCTTCATCCGGTAGTATTTGTCATTTATTAAAACAGAAAAACTGAAATCCTGCCACACACCAGCTCTAAAACTCGAGGATGGAGCATCCATTATGTCTGCTTTAAATTCTGTGACCTGAGTTATCCTAGTTATCCTAGTGAAATAACCATATGTAACATTCTGGTAGATACTGTCACAGCCCCATGACTTTATTTTCCTATCGCGATATTGCAAAATAACAAATACTGTTACATCCCTACTGGCCACAAAGAGAATTTTACAGTTAGAAACACTAACGTTCAGAGATGCCCACTTGATTTAACTTACAGGTTTTGGCATTTTTACACAGATCAAGGGCCGGAGATTTTTTCAAAACCACTATGGACACAAGCAACAATTATTGTTTCAATGTAAATACTTCATGTTCATTTGAGTATTATAGAAAAAGGCTAAAGGCTAAAGGTGATTGGAGATATTATTCAACAGCACTGTCATAATAGTTAACCTATAACATACTTAGTGCCTTAAAGCATCCTTTGGGGCAGGTGAGTCTTAGATACAATATGAATGAACAGTCTCACACACACACACACACACACACACACACACAAACACACACACACACACACAATCAAATCTTCTGCAGAAATACAAATTGCCTTTCAGAATGAGTTTCCGCAGCAGTGAAGGTGACACAACAGCCTCACAGACTTCATTATGTTACGGCCTCTTATATTAGCCACAGCATGTGTGTCATGTCATGTGACCCCTGCTGTGAAACAACATTATAAAGCCTGGCTAACCTCTTCTTGCCAAGCCACAAAAGAACGACATCACTGTCATCATTCACAGCATCAGCTAACAGATTTGAAGGACCAAGATTTGGGCAATTACAAGATTTTCTTCCTCTAGATTCATCTGTATCTATTTCAGCTGGTTTGGTGCTGATGATAAGCGGAGGAGACTTAGAGGTCAGTTAATTTTCACATGCCAGCATTCATGATAAAAACAAAAACAACAAAACATTACGTAAACTTTAAAATATCTTAGAAAACCTATAAAACCTATACACACTGACAGGTTTGAAAATGACAAGATATCTATAGTGTGGTATTGTGGAGTGCTTTCCTTGTCAAAACAGGACGTGTGTCGGGATCCAATAGAGTGGAAAAGTGCAATCCTGTATTGATTTCCGTGCTGCTGCCGATCGATCAGAGCTGGTACTAGTAGGAAGAACAAGACAAGACACATTTTCCATTCTATTCATCATGGACTGATAAGAGTGCTGTGCTGACATCCACAAGCTGCTGTTTGCCGTCGGATCTCTTAAGTGTTGGTGAATGAGCTGATGAAGATGCGTGCGCGCGTGCGCACACACACACACACACACACACACACACACACACACACACAAACATACTCTCTGCAACCAACATTTAACAAGGCTGCTTATATTCATAGAAAAGTAATGGCATGGAAAGATGCAGTTTGAAACAAGAGATGAACAAAGTAGCAGGAGTGGGGCTTGAGAAAGTGAGAAGCACTGTGTTTGAAGTCAGTCGAATAGCGTGAAGAGCCGGGGCTGGCCGTTTGATATTCATCATCAGTGAGCGTAGGCGTGGAAAGAAGAGTGGAGAGAATGAGGGGGGTGGAGGAGGAGGTGACAGGGGTGAACAGGTGTGTTGTGGACAGAGAAGGAGAGACTGATATGGAAACAAGGTAAGAGATGATGAAGAAGGGGGAACGAAGCCATGCCGGTAGAGGTGTAACGGTACACAGAAATCACAGTTCAGTGTGTACCTCAGTTTTAAACTCACGGTTTGGTTACGTTTCAGTACAGTAAGGGAAAAAATACAAGTCATACATTTGCTTGTCATTTATTAGGAACTTCTGTATAAACAAGGGGTTTATAGTTTTTTAAAACTGATTTCAAATTAAACCAAATTAAAAAAAAAATAGAATACTGCCACAAACTATTATTATGCAAATTTTCCCTTGCAGCAGCAACATTCACGTTTGTGTGGTGTTGTTTCAAATGAGTTAGCAAGTTTGATGTTTTGCCAAAAATAAACTCGATTACCAATAAGCAAAAATATTAAGTGGTGGACTGAAGCACAATAAACAAATCTGATCTCTTAGCCACTTGTCTGTGTTCACGGTTGCATTTCACCAGGAAGTCACAGTGTTCTCAAACAGGAGACGTTAATCATAAGGGAGGGTCTTGTTGCTCTGGCTTCTTGTTTCCATTGGCATTGATGTTCACTAGACAGAGGCCTGGCTAAGCTAAGATTGCTGTGTGTATTTATTGTGTTCCGGTATGCCACTTAATATCTTTGGAAAAGTGAATTTGGAAAAAATGTTCTATGCACCAAAGAAGCCTACTCTTAAATACTATTAAAGATTGCAGTCAGTATACATCTGAACCAACCATAAAATCCTGTACCCGAAATGGTTCGGTACAAATACTTGTAC